TTGTGAATGATCATTCATTTATTTAACAGACATGATGAGTGTCTACTGTTTGCACAGCTCCAGTTCTTGCCTTTACCTTCAAGTAAGTTTACCTTTACAAAATGGGGAGGGAAAATATAGACATAATGGCTACAAGTTCATAAGGGACAATTTCCATCAGAGGCAAACAAAACAATAAGAAATAATTAGAGGAGGAAACAAAGTGTTGGAGTAAAGGATGTGTGCTTCAGTGAAAAAAACATGGGATTTTAAATAAAAAAACAAAATAAAACAACCCTTGGTTCTGAATCTTGACTTTGCTTCTTATAAACTATGTTACCTTGAGAAAGTTATTTCACCTCACTAGGCCTGTAAAATGAGATTGTTGACTTAGATGATGTTTCAGCTTCCTTCCATCTGTGAATCCCATAGTACATTTTTCAATTAGTATCTTAGAATTTTACACTTTCCTAGTAGAAAAAGTCTTAATTAATATTTTAGCATGTGCCTTAGCATAGCAACTCTGACTCACCTAAGTTTAAGAAATAAACTTCATAATCTAGAATTGGAATACTGAATTAAATGATTTTTTAAATGGTACATACCTTCTAGGTCCTTACTATGTATTTAGTCAAATATAACATATGATCTACCTAAGAATACACCTCTGGGATATAACTAAGTTGAAAATCCTGATACAAATGATTTCTTTTGAAAAGCCACAGAAATATGAATAGATTCATTTTGGGACATAATTTTCCAACTAAATTCTATACTAATATTTTGATTATAAAATTAATTGAGAAATCACATTTCTTTAGTAGTACAAAGCAAACTAGTTAAATTTAAAAGGAGATAATTTCCCACAATAATTTTTAAAACAATCTCAAACAAATCTTTCATAAGCATTTTAAAAAGTTAACTTTTGTTCTTTTGTTCTTCAGGCACCACAAAACAAGATGAGAATCTTTTTTTTTCTAGGAAATCTATTTCCCAAAGTTCTCCCATTGCTTAGGTAATTACATTTCAGAAAAGACAATTTTTATCCAAATTCAGTTTCCTTTCCCAGGATCAGGAAGTTTTATTACATGGGGCCAACTTGAGATCTGTGACTCTTAAGTCTCTTAGGACTATGCATTACTTAGATGGGGCAAAAGACCCTATAGTCTACCTCTTCTACCTGATGACTTGCCTCTCCACCATTAAGGTGGTACCTTAATTTGATGATGTCTGGCTTTAGCGTTCAGGTTAATTAATGATCAAAGTAAAGATGTGGCCATATTTTAAAAAATGAATACCACTTATATCCAGTTTGTAGATAACCCAGAGAATCATGATAGATTGTAATGGTTCTATAAATTAAATTCTATCCTATTCGTCTGGATTAATAGCTAAACAAATGGATTTATATATATATATTATATATATATATATATTATATATATATATATATATATATATATAGTGGGATTCAGGAGAGGAACCTACAATAGTTGATCTGGAAAGACTTTTATCCCATGTCAACTGCAGACCCTTGGTTTCCCCTCTTGTTTCTTTTAGACCTTTCAGTGCTCATTAATCTCTCACAGAAGTGTTGGAAGTAGAAAGAATAGGTGAAACACAAGCTTGATCTTTTTACTTCTCAACACAGGTGTAAAGACTTCCATAGGTTTTGATTATTGAGTGGGATGGGGGCCCTTTCTGAATTATTTTGTCTGAGGGCTGTAATGAAACCAGTCCCTCTCCCTATATAGATAGATAGATAGATAGATAGATAGATAGATAGATAGATAGATATAGATAGATAGATACATATATATATGTGTGTGTGTATGTATGTATATGTATATATGTGTATATATAATATACATATACATACATATATATGTTTTAAAAATTTCTTTTTTAAATGTGTGTTAAAATGTTTTATGGGAAAAAAATCATGATCTTTCTTAGAATTCTCTCAATGAAGCTTATAAAAGTTGAAAGTTGTTAGGGACTTGTTAAAGGATTCATAGAGCTGGAAAAGATCAAACTCCATTTTACAGTTGAAGAAACTGAGGCCCAGTGAGGTTAAGTGACAGCCTTAAGGTTGCAGAGCTCATTAGTACTAGAGCTGGGATTCAAACTCAATTCTCTTTAATCTTAATGCTCTTAGTGCTCTTTCTACCGTGCCAAAATGCTTTCTATTTAAATTATAAACAATACCATCTAGCTGCTAGAAATACCTGGCAGAAGAAGCAGTAAGTAAAAATTTAAAATTAAAATGGAAATTTATCTAACTGGGGGAAAATGCCATTGATTTGATGTTGCTTTGCCCTAGTTTTCTCTGTACCTTTCTTTTAGTATGTAGGTGGAAGTTTAAAGTGGTAGAGCTTATTTCAGAAACAGATTACAAAAGAAGGAACTCATAGAAATTATTCTTTAAGCTGTGAGGGTACTGTGATACTGAGCAGCAGGAAGTTTGGGGACTGGCTTATTAGCCAACAACAGCTTTTGATTCCAGCCCAAACTGAAACCCTAGCTAGAGTCATGACTAAATTCTAGGAGGAATTTAACTACAAGGAGAGACTCACGGTGAGTTAGAAAAGTTCATTCTCATTACACTATGGAGAAGAGACTAGGGGTAGGAGTCAAAAATAAGATAATTCAGCTCAAAAAGCTAATGTGAAATTGGGCTAAATTGAGAGGCATAGCTTTCAGGAATAAAGAAGTTGATAATACCATTGTATTCTACTGTCAAATAAGAGTTGAAATGCTGTGTTAAACTCTGAGTGTTACATTTTAAGAAGGACATACATAAACTTGAGAGTTTTCAGGGAGAGACAATAAGGATGATCAAAGGCCTTAAGTTTATTGTGAAGACTGAAGGAACAGGGGATATTTAAATTGGAGAAGAGGAGACTCAGGAAGGGGGGCATATATTAACTATCTTCAATTACTTGAAGGGCCATCAATATAGAATAGGGATTAGACTTGTTCTGTTTGGCACTAGAAGGCAGAACCAAGAATGGTTGTTGCAAAAAGGCTAATTTAGGCTGGATATAAGGGAAAACTTCCTTAAAAATGTTATCCTAAAGTGGAATGGGCTGCCTCAGGATGTAGTGGATTCCCCATCTCTGGAAATTTCTTAGCAAATGTTGGGTAACCACTTATCAGGTAAAGCGTGTGTAGGTTGGATTAAGTTGTTGCTGAGGTCCCTTCCAGCTCCAAAATCCTGTGATTCTGATAGTAGTTAAGAATTAGTATCAAATTATATCTAGCTCTTTTATAAAGCTGGCTCTCTACAATTACCTCCAAGTTATTTTCTGTTTTCCTGTTTTAGGACAGTTATATTTTTAATCAAAAACAAAAGAAAAGGTCTATAAAATTCATAGTTTTAAATTTGAATCTCAGGCAGAATACTTACCTTATTGTTCAAACCATGAGAACACATGAATCACAATATATAAAACCACTAGTAATGTGATAAGTCCAGGTAAAGTTACGTAAGGGAACACTGCTACTACTATTGCTACCACCACCACTACACCACCACCTAGCTATTATTTTCTAGTACTTTAAGGTTTACATAACGCTTTATAAATATTTTCTCACTTTATCCTCAAAGTAGCCCCGGGAGATAAGTACTATAAGTACTGAATTTGCTGCCATAAAGTAATAAAATGATGATAGTCATATCACAGGGGCTCAGAACTTATATTTGTGTTATTGTATCGATTTTCTGAGGGAGAATATTCAAACATACCTATGCTGAAGATTAAAGATTAAATTACTTTTATCATTTAGGACTCTAGGCTAACAGTTCTGGATGTATGACCTAAGTTCCCCCAGGGAATCCCCAAGACTCTTTCAAGGGGTCCACAAGGTTTCATACTAATTTCGTAACAATACTAAGACATTAGTTGCCTGTTAAAATACTCCTCCTTTTCTCAACTACATATCTGTATGAGACCCAATTTTCTTCATATACTTTAACCAAAACAATATATCACAACAGATTGAATGCAGAACAGATAAAAGAATCCACCCACCTTCCATTGAGCCAGACATTAAAGAGATTTGCAAAAGTATGTAAAATGATGTTATGCCTCACTATTTTTGTTTTAGAAATTTTTTTTCACGAAACCGTTACTTATGTTAACATGTGATAAATTTATTATTGTTATTTTTAAATGAATAAATATAAAATTTGTGTTTTAATTTGTTATGATAAATATTGATAGACATAACCCACATAAACAAAAGCCCTTTGGTGTCCTCAATAATTATTTAAAAGTATAAAGAAATTAAGTTTGAGAACCACCAATGTAGTTTTTCTCCACCTTTTGTTGCTGGGGGAAAATAACTGGGTAAATGCACACTTCAGTATTTTGATGTGAGGGGAAAAGTTTCAAATACCTGTCATTTACAAATATTATTAAAACAATATTTTCTTTTAATTAAACAGACTGGATAAAATGTAAAAATAATCCTGAAATGTTCTTGTTTTCAATGGTGTGAGTATCCCTTCAATTAATGTAGGTAAATACTTTACAACTCAGTAGATGGTCTTTTCAAATTGTTCTGGCTAAAAAGATCTATTCACTTGGACATTTTTTTCTGGTAATTAGTAAATAATAATTGTGGAAATATAGCTATTTAATATATCTTTGCCTCTTGCTCAACTTGTTACAATAATGTTGCATCATATATGGTGGTACCGGTATTGGAATTCCAGTTGAAAGAGAGGAAATACTTGGCAGTTACAGATTAGAAGTGTACATTTCTACAATCAGATGACAGTGAATTATAATATATTGGGAATGGACACTTGCCAAGGTTGTATTTATCAGAAAAGCAATTTGTGTTCAGTATGTCAAGGCAAAGGCAGTCCTCTATATCCTACCAGAGTCAAAGTCCACTGAAAAGTACCCCTGTTCACAGTGAATATACTCACAATCTAAGATATTAAATAGAAATTTCATAATGGAGGCAAATTATCAATAGAGAATAATCCAAGAATGGTAGAAGATACTCACACAGCATTATGTCTTGATTAGCCAGTTGTTCTTGGGTCCTTCTTTGCTGAAGTCGTAACTGTAAAACTTAGGAGGAAAAACACACCAACTTTTTATCTGAGTCTTTGTATTGCTTTTCTTATTTACTTTGTCTGGCTTCTGACCTCATGACTCAACTGTCACTGCTGTCCTAAAATTACCAATGATCTTTTAATTGCAAAATCTGATGGGCTTTTCTTAGTCTCACCTTTCTTGATTTCTCTGAAGCATTTGACAAGATGTTGACTGCCCTTTCCTTCTGGACATCGTTTCTTTTCTGGAATTTTAATTAAATGATACTGAAAAGCTTTTGTAAGAATAGAACCAATGTAACTAGGATGAGATAGGAAGCTTTGGATTGGGGGAAAAACTATTTATATCAAATATGGGCAGAGAGAGAGCTCTCAAATCAGTAAGATTACAGATCCATTTAGGACATTGGAATATTTTAGTATCTCAATAAGCCCTGATATTCAAGACATGTAGAGAAGTAATAAGATAATAAAGTAATACTGAACAATGCCATGATAAATAAAATGATGAAAGAATATGAACAGTTATCAAAAGAACTCGTTTATTGGCTATCTATACTTTTATAAGGTACTTTCCCTTCCAGTGAAGATAAGCTGATTTGTATTGAGTTCTTGGCAAGTATTTTCTATAAAAGAGTGAACAACAATGCAAAGGAAAGCTAGTCTGAAAAAATTGTCAATTTCTCCCTAATTCTGAAAAAAGAGGGACAAAATCCAAATAGTTGTGGTTTTTAATCACTGCTATATCATGCTTCTGTGGCAGGATAGTGATGTTTATGAACCCACCTATTTCCTTTTCTTGTTCAGGTAGTCCATAGTATATCTAGGGACAATATCTCTGTTTCTTCCTTTATTGATCTATTCTGAAGTGCTCTCCACCATGCTTCCTCCTCTTTGATTCCTAGATTTCTTCTCATGAACCCATCTTCTTAATATACAGTATTACCCCTATCCTCTTACCTTACCTGTCTCTTGGCTTTTGGCTTCAGGTGGAACCCCACTATTCCAACACAAACTCTACTGCAGGATCAGCCCTACTTGTTGCCTTGGATTCAAGTGGGAACCCCACCCGATTGCCAGTTCTAATGTTGTACTGAACACCAGAGCTTCCCAAATCTGCCCTAAGGGCAAGCCAGACCATTCAGTGCCACCATCCTTTGCTAGCTCCATCACCAGACTGGGCTCCCATGAGACCAGCTCCAGAGGGATCTAAGTCTCTGCCTCCTGTAGGACTACATCACCATCCATTAGGACACTTGCCTAGCTCTAGTTTCAATACTGGATCTACTTCATACCTGGTCCCTCTATCTCATTCTTTCAGACAAGGTTCCCAAAGTCCTCCTTCAGGCCTCAACAGGAAGCTTCTAAACTCTCCTAGACTGAGTGTTACCCTCACTGGCCTCATGTCCACTCTACAGGACAGCCTTTGGATCCTCCCCATCCCTTCTTAATGTCTCTCTCTAGTCTCTAGAAGAGACATTTGGCAACATCTTCTCCCAAATCTGTCTCATCTGTAATCTTTCCCCTGTGTCTTCCTTGGGGTGGGGAGGAAGAAAAAATTATTTTTTGAAATATTCAAATCTATTTACTCCTTCCCACACAATTGAAAGCAACCTCCAATCCCAAAGCTGTGAATCCTTTCTGAGAGTGGTGGGAACCCTGTGTTGGAATTTCTGGTTTTTTCCATACAACTCAGTGGAAACTCTGGGGGGCTCTGGTCCTCTTTTTGCTGGGCTAGGCTTGCTTCCATTTGGCTCCCAGAGAAAAAGAGGACTCTTGGGTTTGGGGGGAACCTGGGAATCCAATCCTGGACTTTTTTTTGTTTATTTGTTTTGTGGTGGTTTTTTTGGTTTGTTTTTGCTTCGTTTTTACATCTTTGGGTTTCTGAATGCTTCTCTTGTGTGACAGTCTGGCCAGTTTGGGAATCGGCCCTTTCTATAAAGGAACGATTTATAAAAAACTAAAAACACAAAAACAAAAACTTAGGACCTTTTAATCATTTGCCTCCCTAAATAGACTTTCTCTAATGATATTCCTCTTGGATATAGTCCCCAACTGTAAGCACACTCCCACTCCCTTTTATTCTCTGTATTCCAGTGGTACTAAAACCCTGACTGCCAAAGAACAAATACCTTTCTTTTGCCCCTTTCTCCTTCCCCTCACCTGTTTTCTAAATCCCATCTCCTCAATTCTACTTAATCCAGTGTTCCACTCTAGCTATGCTTGACCCTTCTCTCCTGAATCCCTGCTTACTCTTATCTCTAGAATCAAATATAAAATCCTCTATTTGGCATTTAAAGCCCTTCATGCACTGACCTCTTCCAACCTTTCTGAACTTCTTACCCCTTATTCACTCTTCACATACTCAATGATCTACTGACACAAGCCTCACTGATACTCCTCAAATAATATACTTTATTTTGTGACTTTATGCATTTTTGCTGGCTATCCTCCATACCTGGAATTTTCTCCCTCCTCACCTCTGCCTCTTGACTTCCTTTAGATATCAGCTAAAATTCTATCTTCTCCAAGAATCCTTTCCTGTTCTCCCTTAGACTTGTTGCTGCTTTCCTTTTGGGATTATCTCAAATATAACCTGTATGTAGCATGTTCATCCATAATTGTTTGCAATCCTCTATCCACTAGATTGAGAGCTTCTTATTGCTTTTGCCTTTCTTTGTATCTCCGTTGTATCTGGTACATAGAAATTACTCAATAAGTTGACTTCACTTGATTCAAAGTTATAAGAATAAAAGCTGTTCTTTACCGGATAAATGATGAAAGTATATCTAGAGAAATTCAGAGGGTATTCAGCAGTATCCAGAGAAAAACATCAAGCTTTCAATGGTTTTATTAAAAAATGCTCTAAATCACTAATAATAAGAGAAACACAAATTAAATCAATTCTGAGGTATCAACTAACCCCCATCAGATTTGCTAAGATGACAGAAAAGCAAAATAACAAATGCTGAAGGGAATGTGGGAAAACAGGTACATTAATGTACTGTCATGAAACTGTGAACTAGTCCAACCATTCTGGAGAACAATTTGGAACTATGCCTGAAAGGCTATAAAACTGTGCATACCCTGCGATCCAGCAATACTACTGATAGGTCTATATCCCCAGGAGATCAAAGAAAATAGAAAAGGACACATATGTACAAAAATATTTATAGCAGCTCTTTTTGTGGTGGCAAAGAATTGCCCATCAGTGGGAGAATGGCTGAACAAGTTATGGTATATGGATGTGATGGAATAATATTCTGCTGTAATAAATGATGAAGGGGATAGTTTCAGAAAAACCTGGAAAAGCATTTATGAACTGATGCAGAGTGAGGAGAACAGAACCAGGAAAAAATGTACACAGTAATAGTAATATTGTAAGGAAAATCAACCATGAAAGAATTAGTAACTCTGATCAATAAAATAAGCCACCACAATTTCCAAAGAACTTATGATATAAAATGCTATCCAACTCCAGTTAGAGAACTGATGGATACAGATTGAAGATTGAAGCATACTTTTTCCCTTTCTTAATTTTCCTCCTTCCTTTCCCCAGAACATCTCTAATGAAGATATATATTTTGCATGACTATATATGTATAATGGATATCTCAATGGGTGGAGGAGAAGGAGGAGGGAGAAAATTAATTTGGGATTGAAAATTAAAATTAAAAAAAAGAAATCTGGGACGATTTGTATGTATTGATATAGTGTGAAATAAGCAGACCAGAACAACAATTTATTCAATAACAACAGTGTCTTCTTCATTAGAATGTGAACTCCTCACATTCTAATGTGAGGGTGAATAGCTTATCGCCTTCCCACTTCATCCCTCATTTTTGTCACCAACACTTAGTACAATGCCTGGCAAATCCTTCGTAAGTGCTCATTGACTGACCGACTCCTCTCCCGTTTTTTTGTTTGTTTGTTTTACTGAGGCAATTGGAGGTTGAGTGACTTGCCCAGGGTCACACAGCTAGTAAGTATCAAATATCTAAGGCTGGATTTGAACTCTGGTCCTCTTGACTCCAAGGCCAGAGCTCTATCCACTGCACCATCTAGCTGCCCCCAACTCTGCCCTGGTTTTGATGATATTATACTCTTCTAGGTATTTTTCTTCCTCCTGTACCTTGGCCTTCTTCCCTGTGCTCTATGCGCTGTCTCCTTTCTCGATCCTATTCAATTCCATAGCTTTACTGATATGGATGACTCTCCAGTGAATGTCTCCAGCACTTTTCTAAGCTCCAGACCAACATTTCCAACTCTGTTATTCATTTCTATTTGGCTATCTGACCAGCACTTTCAAACTCCTGTCCAAAAGAGAACTTACTGAAAATCAGCTTGTCTTCATTATTTTCCTATTTTTTTTTAAATTTGAAGTAGCTTTCTGTCAATTACTCAGGCTCAACATCTTGGCATTAACTTTGATTCCTACTTATTCTTGAACCCTTCACACAGAATTAGTCAAAAAGTCTTGTCAGTTTATTACCTTTGTAATCTGTTATCTTTTTTTTCCTTTCCACTGCTATTACTATAGCCTAGGTTTTATTATCTCTTACCAGGACCATTTCAATAGCCTCTTATATTCTTATATACATTCTTTAACCTTTCATCTATACTATTATTCACTCCTTACAGTAGTGACATGATAGGACCTTAATAAATGCTTGTTGACTTCACTTGGACTCCATAAATAACAAACTTCCTTTTATCTTAAAACCTTTTACTTTTACACTCCGTCTGTCTTCTAGCATTCACTGAAACTTGACTTCCCTTGGATCATATTGCATTTCAGGACATCCTTTACAGTACTGATTTCACCTTTTCTCATATTCCCTGACTCACTGATCCAAAAGAGGGAGTTAACATACTCTTTTATATCTTTCCAGACTTTCTTTCTACTATCATTTCTTATCGACCCCTCCTCTTCTGAAGTTTACCATATCCAAACTTATTACCCAGTCAGATTCTGGTTATTTGTCACCTCCAGGTCATTCTCTGTTTTCTCAATGA